TGAGCATCAGCAGCAGCTCAACAGCAGGGGGCGGGGCTGAGTCAGAGGACTTGTTAACATCTTTGATTTACTTTTTATGTTGGATTTATTATCTGCCTATTCTGATATAAATATTTAATTGACTTTAACTCTTTAGAACCTCTTTGTGGTTATTAATTTTTACTTTAGTTTTGCTGTCCAGCCTTTATCATGATCACACATGTATGTTTACATTGTTAACGTTTTATCTGTCCTCCTGCTCAGTCGTGGTATTTGTTAGGTTTTCAGATCATTATTTGAAGTCATGGCTTATTCTCTGCTGTTGCAGGAATTTCTAAGGAACCCTGAATCCACCTTTTTGACTGGGTTATTGGACATGACGCTGCTGTTTTGGAGTCTGTAAACTGGTTATGCACTGAATTATATTATGGACCAGTAGACAGACTTACTACTAGTAACACTAATACTAATACTCTGAAGCGTGGACTGGAAACTTCTAGCAGTGGTGTACAGATTTCTGTATTATTTTCCAGGTTGACCTCAGACTCCGTGGAATGCTGTGACATCTTGGAAAACGAAAATGTTTTTTTCTTTTCCTCTCAACCTCAATTTCAGACTTATTTTTTTCTATTTTTGTACTCATTCCCTACTTTTTCTCCTTCGCTCTTTACACCATTCAGATAAATGTTATTCTTTGTACAACTTGAAATGTTTTTGAGCTCAAATCTGTGGGACAGCACAGCATTCTTTGATTTCACCGTGGAGGGCTGTTATTGGTCATTTTGAAGCTTGTTAATAAAATGATCATGCTTTAAATCATTCTTTCACAAAGATTGGGTCACGACCCTCAGGTGGGTCGAAAGAGGTTTTTTTTAGGAGGGCGAGTCGTCTCGCATCATGTTTCCCAGGAGTTTACAAATAATGTCTATGGACTTGAGCTGCAAACTTTTAAAATATGGGTCCCCAGAAAAAAAGTTTGGGAAAAGGTTTAAATCAAACATCAAAACAAGTGTAGAAATATATATATTTATGACAAATCTGTAGGCCTTAAAGCCATTTAAGCTGAAACAACTCATATTTAAGAGTTGTGTATTTTATAAAATGTTGTCTTTTTGTTCTTATATGGAACAGTGTGTTTATAACAGCTCAGTTTAACAACAGAAGGAATGTCATGTGGGCCGTATCTGATTTGCACAGACCAATTGACAACACACATTGAGTCTAAACAGAGTTCTGACATGGAATTAGAATTCTAAGTGTCCTCCTTGAAGGTCCTGTAACAGGGACACACATGGAGGAGTGAAGAAGATCACAAAAATTATTGAAAACCAACTTAGCTCCCACAGTGACCAAGTGCTTCGGTGACACTGTGGAGATAAAAACTCCCTTTTAAGAGAAATAAATCCATCAGATCCCGACTCAGCGTTCAGTCGTCTGAAGAGTCAAAGGAAGGAAAATAAAGAAACTCACTGTTTCCACAGCAGCAGCAGCAGCAGCAGCAGGCGGTTTCTCAAACATCCTCTTTAGCTGATCCAGTGGAATGTCAAAGCGTTCAATCCTCCTGGCAGCCTGCAGATCCTCTCGGAGCACTGATGCCTCCACCTCCACCTCCACCTGCAGCCCAGTGGCATCATGGGAAACCAAGCCCAAGGTCGCTGACACTGCAGCGGCCACCTCCTCTCCATTTCCTGATCGAGTTTCCATTGTTGTAACAGGAACTGTAGACTGGTGATTGAAAGGAGAAGAAGAGAAGGGGGAGGAGGGGGAGGGGGGTTAATGTGCTAATAAGAGTAAGGACAAAGTAGAGGGTGAGGGACGTCTGAGAGGGTGCGGAGAAGGAGATGGAGTTCCTCTCTGTCTGCCTGGTTCTCTGGGTTGTACAGGGGAGACAGAGGGGAAAAAAGTTCAGAAGGAAACGTTTTTCCACTCTGCCTCTGTAATTACTGTAAGAACGAGAGAGAGAGAGAGATGAAGAGAGAGAGGGAGAGGCTTATGTAAACTGACACATAAGAAAGCTAAAGAAAGTGGAAAATTGCTTTCAAAGAAAGACACCGTGGTGTTGTCAGTTACAGGCCATGAACACTGACTAACACAGTGGTTCATGTGGCATTCAAAGACCGTCCAACAACTGTAAACTGTCCAACATTTAGCTGGAGTCACCGCTCCTCTGTCAAAGCCCACTGACAGGCTGCTTGGTTGACTGAGACCTTAAAAACTGACATGACTGCAATGCATGATGGGATATATTGCTTGGACAGTGTACATCGGATGTGTAATAAAAATTGTGGGATACAATAAGTGGACAACTCCGCTCACTGAGCTCGGCACCACTACAAAATGGAGTGCCCCATATGTAGTACACTGAGTATGGTGTAGGGGGCGGTATCAGATACAGCCTGTGCATCTGACCTCAGATGGGCCTCACATCTCTGGGCCAAAAGTGGCTAAAGTGTACTAGAGCGTACAATGACCAGGATGTAGGCCACCCTCTCACACCCCAACAGCAGATATGGGCCACTGATATGGGACGGTTGAACAGGATGAGTGGGCCTCATTTATCTGATTATAAATATTTCTGGAACAGTGTCAATATATTTTGGGTAATTTTGGTAATTTCTGTTAAAAATCTAACTGAAAAAAAAAAAAATATATATATATATATATATATATATATATATGTCATGGACCACCACAGCAGTTTGGAGTTGATGGGGACTCAGAACCTTCTAGTACTCTAACACACTTCCATGAATTCTAACTAAATTGGCTAAATTGCTTTTGTGTGGCGTGGTCATGTTTGCCTTTAGTTGCAGTCATTTACTTTTGTTTTTACATGGATACAAGTGATGGGCAAAGCCTATTTTTTATTTATTTAATACAATACCAATTATATTTTTGGCATTCTTTTAATATCTATATCAATACTGAGTTTTTCCACCCAATAAAACACAACAATTATTGATCAATGTGTGATGTTGAGAATATATAGAAACTTTGTCTTCACGTCTAGGTGATTTTTCCAGACAATAAGCTTCTATGTGGCCTATATTTCTGAATGGGGTCAAATGATGAGGGTGAAGTAAAAGTAGCGGCTGGATGAAGTTAGCTTAATTACAGGATCAGGTGGATGGACAAAGACTGACATCCTCCCCTGCAGTCACTGTGGTTCAGTGGCTCAGTGGCACAGAGAGGGGAGCTGAGAACCAATCCAGATAATCCAGTCCTAATGAAAGAACAGTCATGATAGATGCATCTGATACAAGACTGGAGGACACACTATCGCTCCCACTCTACTATTGGCAGATGCATTATTCAGACAGAGAGACATAGAGACAGAAGGAGAGAGAGAGGTGCTGGGTCTCAGGTCTCACTTTCTGCTGCATCCTGTGTCTCCTGAAGTCTTCCAGGTGACACATACTGAAGTGTGAATGCTTTAATTCAGGCCTAGGTTTTGTCTTTGTCCTTATTTTACTTGACTTTATCAGCTGTTTAAACCCAAACACTTAAACACTCAGCTCTGGCTAATTTGTCTGGTTAGCTGTTGCAATATATTCTGTTCTTATTGGGATTCTATTTGCACATGTACCAGTACAGTTCAATCAAGTTGCACTATCAAGTGTGTAGGCCTTCTCAGCACCACAGGGAGCTGTATGTCAGATTTTTCCCAACAAAAAACACAATTATAATCAATCACTTCCTAAAACTTCCTTTAGTCCAATGGTTCTCAGTTATTCTCTGTCATGCCCTCCCCTCCCCCCTGCTGCCACCTAGTGACTGGATTCTTGTTATCATTCAAACATTACAACAGTGCCATATTCCATTGGAAGCCCCTCACATCCCCCTGGCACCTCACCACGCCCCCTCAGGGGGACCCTCCCCACTATTTGAGAAATACTGCTTTAGACACAAAGTACTGGTTACTTGTGTTGTTTTATTGGGTATTTTTTAGGAACTAGTACTTGTGGCTACGTTCTTTAAAAGGGTTCATGTGGTTGATCCACTCACAGACATCGACACAAAAGGACATTTTTAGTCGCTACCTCATCAGAACCCATCAGACCAGCACAGACACACTGCATGTTTTCCCAGTACTGGGGCCAGTGATATACAAATATACATCAAATATATTCTGGTCCTGATCCTAGTTTTTTTTTTTTAATTCAAGATACATGTTATTGCAATATTGTCCCATTTAGGTCACATAAATTAAAGATTTGTGAAAGACCTTTAATTTATGTGTTTTTAAAATTTTCAAATACCTGATTCTTTTGGAAACATTAATTTTTTGGGGGATGGACAGTGAAGTCCTCATCTTTCTGTACTGATGTGAACCACAGTCGACCAGACAGCTTTGATGAAAGAAGGTTCCGGCATATCTCAAACAATTACAGCTTAACTTTCCCTTCAAGCTCCTTCCAGGGTGTGCTGTTTATGTGAGGATGATGTGTAAACTGCTGGATAGGAGAGAGAGAGAGAGAGAAAGAGAGAGAGAGAGAGGGAGAGAGAGAGAGAATGCGAGAGAAAGCGACCCATGTGTGGTAGAGTGGCAGTGGACAGGAAGCCACTGTGTCCAGATTTGTATAGAAGCAGCCAGAACCTGGTGTCATCAGAGTAAAGATGTCTGACGGCAGTTAACTGCCTATCTGTGTTGTTTAGCTGCGAATGCTATCATGGCAATGGATTTTAAAGTGACTAATAACCATTACACTCTCTAAGTCCAGCTCTAACTACTCTAATAAGCACAGAAGAAGACTTTGACTGGATTTAACTGCAGTGTCTCATTGTTCAGTAGTTCAGTCTGTGGTCTGGAGAAGCCGTGTGGAATCCTTCAGAACATTCCGTGGGCGTGTACTTGGCCGTTGGTCTGACTCTGTGGCCTTGCCCACAGTTTCACTTAAACAGACCCTCTGCTCTTCTGACTCTTCAAGGTGGGAAGAACACACTCACTGTTTACTTTGTTTACAAACTGCAGGTGAGACTGATTCTGGTCAAAACTCTTTACCTGGAAAGAGAATCAGCTCCATTAAACAACTGAAGGATGTCTAAAAGTCACACGTCATTATTTTACAGATATAATAAGAGGAAATACTTTAAACGATGGTTATGGTGTCAGAACTCCCTGACCCCACCTGTGAACTGCCCTCAATGGTCACCGGCTCAGGGCAGATTTCCTGGGTCTTTAGTCCCAGGCTGACTGTAATGGCCATTCGCAAGGAAAAGCGTCACTGACATTTTACCACCTCAACATCTAATTTGATCTGTGATGTCCAACAGCACCATTCTGGACCACGCCCCTGATCGTGTCCTCCACTGATCCACAATGTCTGACCTCCCTCTACTGGTCCAAACTGCAGGTGAGACTGATTCTGGTCAAAACTCTTTACCTGGAAAGAGAATCAGCTCCATTAAACAACTGAAGGATGTCTAAAAGTCACACGTCATTATTTTACAGATATAATAAGAGGAAATACTTTAAACGATGGTTATGGTGTCAGAACTAGAATTTTAAAGATACTATTTCTAGTGTTTCTGTTTTTGCTTTTTTCATTTCTTATTTTAATAACTTAATATATGGAGTAAAGGCTGTTGAAATCCTAAATATAGAAAAAAAACACCAGTGGTCTTAGTGCAGTTTGTTATTTTATTATGTTTTAACTGGTGTTAAATTTAATTTAAAAGTGTTCATAAAACTCAACTTCACATTTTCAAATGTTGGTAGTTTTCACTAATTTAGTTTTTAGGCATAAGTTTGACTCTAGTTTTGACTCGTTTTGTTTTGTCAACTATCTACATGGGCTGAAATCATTTTTCCTGTTACTGTGTGGTGAGAAACACTGACCTGTCATTAACAGATAACTTTAAACCCGTTTATCAACAACCGTCTCACGGTGTTGTACGGACGAAGCCAATACAATGTCAAAGAACAGTTCTCCCATTTCTTTTATGGCAGTTTGTTGCCATCTTGTGGTCATTGTTCCTCATTGCCTTAATTCTGGTTAATTCAACTCTGACTAGAAAGGTCCTAAGACTGAGAGGAATCCATTTTTGGCTCGTTTTGAGTTCGTAGAGGTTCTGAACAGACCAGGACACCACTAACGACCAACTGTGACAGAGCAACAAAAACTGGAATCAAAGCTGCGACTAGCCAGGCTGCTAACACTGACAACATCTGGAATGAAGACCCTACAAATCATAGAGCACATCTACAGACGTGATCCACAGCCTGTGTAAAAAAAAAACACACCACTGGAATAGACAGAGGGCCAGATAGACAGAGGAAGTGTGACCACTGCTGAGTGAACACTCTACTTTTAGTCAACATCTTCAACCCAGTCAGGAGATTCCAGCAAGCAGGTTTATAGCAACACTATACATCGGCATGAACTTCACCCAATTTTAGATGCTAGTCACTGGATTCAAGAACCAGGCAGGAAAAACCTGGAATATCAAGGAGCAAAAACCCACAGCGTCACGAGCACAAAACAAAGGCATAGAACATGAAACTCACAGAACATGAAGCGTGGACACAGAACATGGACATCACACTCAGAACAGAACACTCAACAGCATACCTTGACCAGCGTGGCATGACTGACGTACACTGACCAATGAACCAACGAGGACACAGTGAGGGAGAGAGGTACATAAACACCCAGGGCACCAGGTGGCACCAGTGAGACTGATGACAAAGGCACAGGTGAATGTGATGACACTGATGAAGTCCAGAGAAACAGACAGACAGACCTGACAGCCTGCAGAGACGGGTAATAAAGGTCGTCCATTACTGCCACCTACAGGCTGTGTTATACCACGGTAGCATAATTACACTGTTTCACAGTTTTTTTGTTTTTGATGTTCAAAAGGATTTAACATGTCAAAGTCACACGACACAGTCACGCCTCTGTGATAAAAAAAAAGTACCATAAAATAACCGTGTTTTTGTCCACTGTGTCACTCAGATGAACAACTGCAATCGTTCTTCATGGGTTATCTGTGGTCAACACATGTGTAACGCCCTCAAACCTGACATTCACACACACACACACACACACACAGAAGGAAATAGACCCAGCAACAGAAACCATGTCAAAGATAAATCCATAAAAGTGTTATGAGGAACCTACAGTTTCTTGATTTGTTGCCAATTCTGGGTGAGTGGCTTGAATTTACTTCAAAACTAAAACATTTCTTCACATTCTTTTAATGCTCAACATTTGTTATTCTTTGTTTTCCAGCTCTGACAAGTGTAACAAATAGGATAAGTATGTTTGGTTGAAAACTGTCAAATATTCCTTTGGTTTTTCTCATGTCCAAATATGTAGCTGTCCCACTGTACTCCTCAGTTTGAACCACCTTAAATGAACCTGTTTTTAGGTGGGTCACTCACGTCTGGTCCAGTCCTGACCGGCCCTCACGCAGCCTACCCGGGATCCAAGGTGGTGTTCCACTGTAGATCACCTAAGTCCCCTCCACCAGTCACATATGAGCTGAGGGCCGACGGACATATTTTGTTTGCCAGTGGGACAGATCTCCAGGGAGGGCAATCCGCATCATTCACCCTCAAGGTTGCTGAAACATCTGCGGGAAAATACCACTGCCAGGCAACATCTGGAGGAAGAACAGAAGTCAGCAACGTCATCACGCTGAGTGTAGTCAGTGAGTAATGGTGTGTTTACAAAACAACAGTCTGACACCTCAGTCTGACCACACTGTTTTTGGGTTTCAGCTCCACCGTCACATACCACAGTTTCCTCAGAACCCTCCCCCGCAGTGGCCTACGAGGGGTCGCGCGTCGTCCTCCAATGTGACGCCACGGGTTCCAACCTGTCCTACACCTGGTATTTCAACCAAGAAGAAGTCACACCTTCCACCGGCCCGCTTTTCCACACCACAGGGAACCAGCTGGTGTTGGACGAGCTGACTCCAGAGCATTCAGGTCTGTACTCCTGCTACGCTTGGTCCGTACTGGAGGACATCAGGAGGGTTTCAGTTAGCAGAGAGCTCCGGGTGACTGTCAAAGGTAGAACACAATCACTGTTCACATTTACACAATCCCAAAATGAAGGTTACCAAGTACCATTGGACGATCAGTTATTTTCACATTAAATGTTTCAGTGCCTGTAGAAATAGAAGGGTGTAGAAGGGTTTCTAAAAAAGGTTAAGTCTCTAAACTAAACTACAGAGGAAGGACATTCATTTCTTTAGACCAGGAGTCACCAACCTGAGAGCTACTTCAAGGGTACTTAATAAAACAGAGAGCTACTTGTTTGATACAGACAACAATGTAATAATAATCAGTTCTGGGACATACAGTAGGAGACACTCTTCTTACCATCGTTATTGCAAGTGGAACTGATTCAAAAAGAACAGTAACAGTACAGTTTTGACCCTCTTGTTGATTAGATTTATTTTTAGGACGTACTCTGCAGGCAGCTTAGGTAGTCCACAGGGGGGGGACTACAAAGGCTACATTGATGCTAAGTTTAACTCATCGTGTGTCCTTTAATCTACTCAATTCACTGCGTGATCAAAAAAAGGTCTGTTGAAATCAGGGAGATCCAAGTGCTTCCTGAACAATGACCACCACTTTCTTTTGACATTTAACAACTGGATCAAATGATCTTATCCACTCAGACCGCAGGAGTTTACATCACTACTAATGATGTATGAGTGACCTCAGTGGTCGTTTCAAAAACTAATGTATACAAGTATGACTAAAATGTAAATTCTAAACAATAAACACAAATGTAACATGAATACAGGTGATAAATTATAATGTTTTTTAATGAAATAAATACTAGAACAGTTATTCCGACCGTGGGTTAACATTATCAATCAACTTCAGTGTAATTAGCTCAAGAGAAAAAATATGACTTTTTCTGTTTTAAAGTACTGTACACATCACTGTGGCCGACTGCCTAAACATTCTGCTGACATCATGTACGTGGACAAAATGTCCCGTCTTTGTTCTTTTGCCAGTTTACGTTTCCAAACCCAAGATCTCTCTCTCCATCTCCAAAATGAAAGACAGCTACCAAGGCAACGTGACCTGCAGCTGTACCAGAGGGAGTGATCCGGTCAATTTCTCCCTTTTAGTAGATGATATAGAAAAAGAACCGGTGATTACCACTCAGGCCCTGGTTGCATGGTTTAACATCACCGTGGTTCCGGGGCTGGATAGGGGCGTGGCCATCTGCAGGGTCCGAACTGAGCTGCAGGAGCTGATGAGTGAACCAATGTCTCTGGAAATCGGTACGGCTCTCAGGTCCACAGAGTTATTACATTAGTTGAACAAACAAATATATATATATATATAT